CCACTGCCAGTGTCTATGGACCTTGGATATTATAAGGCCAGCGTGGCGTCAAATATCTTAGCATTCATAAGTGTTATGGGCTGTAAATAAATCCTGTAGATTTATGACCCTTCAGTGCCTGCCAGCAAATGAATGTGGCACATTTCTTTCAGCAGACCTGTGGAGGTACAAGTTTGCTTTTGGTTGTAAAGTTAACCATTTCCTTCACAAACACACCCAATTATCAGTTGCTGGCCAACAATATTTGTCATGGCTCAGTACAGAAACAATGATGTAAATTTAAAAAAACTGGTTTGGGAGAATGCATATTATGCAAACAATAAAGCAACAGCTAAAAGTTCTGCAGTAGCAAAAGATAAAAAGATCCCACCACAGACAGAACACTCTACTTCTACCTATATCTCTAAATCAAATTAAAAAAAAGTTTTTTTTTAATCTTCTTTTATCTTCTTCTTTTGTTGGCAACTATAGGCACTTCATCTCAAATAACGTCTATTCTGTTCTTCATTTAAAGCTAGCAAGTATGCTTCAAGAAAGGCATGATTTGTTGCCTTGGTGTTTTTTTCAACTTCTACCCCCATCCGTCCAGCAATCCCCTCTTCTCTATTTAGGGAAACATTTGTTAAATCCAGGTTGTCTCGTGCTTAACAGCCATAACCCAGCTTCCACATAACTGTCAGACAGCTGTAAATGGGGGTTGAGCAATTTTAGTCATGGTATACATCTATGCAAAAGCAAAGAAAGAGAATTCTGCAGCTGTCTTTTTTTTTTACTGTATTTAAAAAACAGAAAGAAGAATAATCTTCCTAATGCATGAACCCTAGAGCTGTTTAAAGTAAAACGCCAAGTTTAGCAAGCCAATAATCTATATTTTAGATCAGTCTCCCCCCCAAAAGTAACATAAGAGACATGAAAATGAAAATGTGGTTACATTTTGCCTTCATTAAACATAAAATCTAGCCTGCCAGAGTTTTTCTAAGTGAGAAGCAGGATAATGCATTGGTTCTCTCCTCCAGTCTGACTTTAAAAAGAATTCCGACAAGAGAGGCTGAAAGGACATTACTCATATGAAGTTTACAAAGCTATTTCTGATACAGAAGCAGCATGCTAAGAACTGAGAGCCACAGACAATGTACTTAATTTTACTGGTTATTTTTGCACAGTTCAGGAGAAGAAAACACTTTTTTCACTAAAACCATTAATTAAATGAATGGTACAATTTAGTAAACAGCTTGTCCCTGCCAGTGAGCCCCAAACTCACTCAGATTTGAAAACTGGATATAAATGGCTAACATTCAACTACCACCATCATCCTTATTTCAGAAATCAAATTTCAGCCTACAGATTAGCAGTGAACCAAACCTTCACACTTGAAACAGAATTTTGAACTATGCAAAGCTATAAATATTTCTAAAGGACCTGAACAACAAATTAGCATAAATACCAAAGGGCAGGAACACCTGTTCTTTTTTTCAGCATGATAAGCATTTCATTGTTCTCTACTTAAAATGTAATGACCTGCATAATTACAGTAATATTATATTGAACTGCAGAAGCTCAGATTGTCACACTTTTGAAAACTGTTGTCAAAACAATTCATAGCAGGAGGAAAAGGTGGAGGAATCCCATTAACTCTTTACCCCCTTGCATCTAGATTCTTCAATTGAAGATTAAGGAGGGTGGGTCAGAACATTAAAAAAGGAATTATTAAATTTTAAATATAGAACTATTCCCCTCCTTTATGCTTATTTTTTTAAATCACAAATAATTCCCTTCCTTTATGTTTAGTAATAAAAAAAATACTCAGAGAAATAAAATCTATCAAAAAAGCAAAAAATGTAGGAATATATTGAACAACCTTTAATGTTAATAGGAATATTTTGAAATATTAACTGTAAAATTTCAATAACCAGAAAAATTCTTGCTACTTAATTGCTGTATCACTGATTTCTGAAATTAAATTTCATGTCATGAAGTTCTCATGACATCCATTTTCACACAAGTTAGTTCTAAATCCTTTGTTTAAATCTATAATAGAGCCCTCCTTAATGTATATTGGTTCTCTTAACAGCCAGGTATATTATTCTGTGAAAAGCAGAATTAGTATGATGCAGAGGAATCTTTGTTCTCTGAAAAATACAACTATTGCTATCAATTTTGAACAATCTTCAGTAACTGAACTATTACTTGCTATAACAAAATTTATACTTTAATCCCTTCATGTTTACCTGAAAGTAAGAGCTTGCTTCCAAATCAACATTATCCAGGATTGGACTATTAATGATTGCTTTAAACTATTTATATTTATACAGCAAGAACAAAATCATAGATCAGTATTTCTATAAATCAATTTTAAATTATCAAAGGACAAAGATTTTTCTAAATAAAAATAAAACCCCAGGTCTACAGTGGAAAAGGGACAATAATTACCCAGATAAAGTTTTAAAAACAATAGTACATTCACTCAAATTGGGAGGGTAGTATTACTTATGTAAGTAACTATTAGTTATTTACTTACATTCTGAATTGCAAAAACAATATCCTAATGGTTTGAATATATTCTGAACAGTACAATATAAAATTGATTTTTAAATAGTTTTAGCTTTGCAACAAAGTAAAGAATGGATTTTCTTTATAGCTATGATTTAAGTCGCATGACAAAAAGAAAAAGAAACTGAAATATACAGCTGGCTGTCATGCAAATAATAAAATTGTCTATTGAGGATGGAAAATGCTTTTTGAATCATGTGATGGCAAAGAACAAGGTCACCTGTTATACCAACAACAAAAATAACAGATTTTATACAAAGCACTGACTCCTCAGAAAGGGCTTTATTACTAAGTGATTTTTTCTATTAAAGATAACTGTTTAGGGCCTGATCCAAAGTCTATTCAAACATTCACATAAATAGTCCCCATTCATTTCAAAAGATGATGTATCTAATCCAGAACAAAAGTACGACCAGAAAAAAATGCAATATATATTAAACCACAATATCCTTTATTATATGGAAAAAGGAATTTGTGTCTCAGATCTCTAGCCAAACAAATATAAGAGAGAATCTTCATAGACAAATTTAATTTTTCCAAATTATTTCTAGAAATTCCTTGGTGAGTAAATGTATACTGTCATAGTTTACATTAAAATAGCCACAATTTTGCCAACATACAGCCTATCCTTTACCTGTCACACTACCTTGCCAATACTGTATTTAGTCATCCTTTCTTTCCATTATACCAAAACTGTGATTATAAAATATATACTTGCTTTGATTATGACCCCAAAATGCAGCAAATTATAAAATATATTCACTAAGTTAATCACATCCTTCAAAATATTTAAAAATACACATGTAAACATGATTTAGTCATCCTTGACCTCTACAATTTGTAATCTGTATTTGGGATCTGAATAAAAACAAGTCTGACCCTGATATTTTATAATGCATTAAAAATATCTCCTATTCCAGACTGGTGTTATCAGGAATCCCACAAGCATTTAATAATGAATGTATTACTCAACATTTATGTCTGATACTGCCACTATAAGAGAAAAAGGTAATCTGAAGAAACCAAAAGAAAGGTAAGTAGGATAGAAAACTTATCTTAATTTAAAAATTAAACAGAAAACTTAACAACAGATTGTGTATGAATTCTGCAATCCCTGGGGATATTGTAAGTCAGTTTAGAAATAACATTATAAAAAGTTTACTTCATTTCTAAGAAGAGCAGGTACAGTTGGAATCAATCTATAATCTATAAAGTAATATAAAATAGTAGCCAACATGAATCAAACTATGAAAATAACTATAAAGCAACAATCTATGGTAATGGCTACAGCAACTTATTTTCTGCCACGCCTTCTGGACTTTCTGCCACACCCATAAAAGTATACATCCTTCAGTAAGAGTAATGTGTGTTGCTTGTGATTTAAAATATTCCATTCATGTAAAGGCTTGTTCTTTTATTTAATTCTTTTGCTAAAATGTAATTGTTTTTAAGAAGAAAAAGATAAGTCTATATTTTAATAATCCTGCTGACTCTTACTGAAGCCAGAGAATAAGAAAGGGGGGGGGGGGGGATTGCTTGAGATTTTTTTTGTACATAATAAAAAAAAAAATCAGTGGGTACTCCTAAGGCAAGACAGGATCATAGAAATAATAATATACATATTATGTCATAGTTATACAGTGATTATGACATCTCTATCCTTCATGAAAAACCAACTGTGCCTTTTTGAAAACGTTGCCTTGCAAAGGAATGCAAATAACATTTTCCCAACACTCTCTTCTCAAGAAACCCTCAGAAATCAAACCAAAAACGAAAAGAAGAAAAATAGAAGGGAGAAAAAAAACACACAGGAAAGCAAGATGCTTGCAGTTAAACTGTCATCCGCAATAAATTTAAAAACAAGAGTGCCCGTAAAAGGGTGTAGATAAAAGATACAATTTAACACCAATTAATCATTCAATGGCAACTATCCCAGTAAATTAGTATGTAACTCGGCGAGGGTTAGGACAGCAAATAAAGGGTTAAGTGGGAGGCAAAGTAAAGGGGGAGGGGAGAGAAAGCAAACCCAGTTCGCCACTCAAGGGGGCCGGAGAAAACAGAGCGCTATAGAAATTTCCGAGTTTGGGGAACTTCGAGCGAGCGCGGGCTCTGGCGCTGAGAACCGGGAGGGAGCTTCTTTCTTTAAGTCACCGCGGCTGTATCCACCCCCCCCCACACACACACACAACTGAAAGTAAAGGAATAAACATGGCGAAGTATAAACAAACCGCTCTCCTCCCTTACCCGCCTCCCCTCCCCTCCCCTGGTCTGCGGAACGCACAAAAGTTTTGGAAAGTTTCTGGCCGTGCCATGGCCGAAGTGGGAAGGAAAAGGCGGGACACGCAGGAGCCATTGGGGACTTTGGGAAGAGGGAAAAAAGAGGAGGGAAACGCAGAATCGTAGCAGAAAAACCGGGAAAGGAAACCATTAAAAAAAAAAAAGCCACTCACCGTTCTCGCCGTGGGCGAAAGGGATCCATTGGGGAGGTAGGGGCCGCTCAGGTCGGGAATCATAATAAAGGGATACCCAGGGTATGGTGGGCCCTTAAACAACCCTCCATCTTGCCTTTTCGCAGCTAACATGGCGGGGAAACGAGGAGCCAGAAAAATAAAAGAAGGGAAGGGAAATCAGTTAGAAATCGTTTCACAAAAAAAATCCAACGAAAACTTTAAAGTACTCGAACCTACAGAAAACACAGCCGCCGCCTCCCCACTAAAGGGGCAGAAAATAAGGGATGGCTGCCAAAGAAAAACAACTTACCTTCCTCTAAACTTTCTCTGGATTTATCTCTGAAACTTTCGGACCTAGGTGGAGGCCGCCTCTCCGCCTTAAAACAAGAACGGGGTTTTGGAGGGGGGGGTCAAGATAACAAAAAGGGGGGGGACAGTGAGGAGTGCATGGGAGAGATAGGATGGTGGGGGAGATACGGAAGAAAGAAAACGAGAACGAGTTAAAAGTTTGTGCAAAACATGAAGCGAAACATACGGCAACAAGGCAATTTACGACGTGGGGGGAAACGAAGTTAGTTGTGTTCTGCCTCTACCCCCTTTTCCTACTCCCCCCCACCCCCCAATCTCTTGTCCGACAATCCTCCCGCCAAAGCTGAGCGAGGCAGGTGTGTTTCAAAGGGGGGAACGTTTCTTACCTCCGAGTCGGAGGAGCTGTTTTGATTAGTTTCTGATTCATTGACCAGAGAAGACTTGACGTCCGCTAAATCCCTCTCTGCCGAAGAGTTCTCCGAGATCTTCTCTTCTTGCTCCCCTTCGTCTTTAAAAGAGATCAATTCGTCGTTCGCCCCCAAATCGTCCCCTCCACCGCCATTGAGTTGCGGCATCTTCTTCCTGCCTTACCCCCACCAGCAGCAATTTTGCAAGGACGGAGCGAGAGAGAGGCAAAAGGGGAAAAAAATAAGGAAAGAAAAAGGGGGAAGGATATTTTTCTTTAAAAAAAACAAAAAACAAGGCAGAAAGAAAAGGGAGAAGTTTGTATTTTTAAGAAGAGTCCCAGGTGAAAGTTCTTTTCTTTTTCTTTCCTCTTGGGGAGGGGAACAGAGGGGGAGGAGGAGGAGGAGGAGGAGAAGGAGGGGAGGGCAGTGTCCCTGCTCCTTTCTTTTTGCACCAGTGACTTTGGGTTTCTTCTTTTCCTTCTTCTGGATTTTCTCTCTCTCTCTTTCTCTCTCTCTCTTTTCTTCCGATGATCAGATCAGCATGTAAAGACACGCGGGCAGAGACACAAAAAATTAATAAGAAAAAAAAATTATATAACGAGGGAGGGTTAAGACGGGGGAGGGGAATTACTTTAAAAAATGGTAACAAACAAACCAAACAAATCAGCTGTAAAAATGGGAGGGGGGGTAGAAGCTGCAGATATAGGAAGCCTGTGCCGGTCGGATTTGAGTGAGTTGAAGTTAGACTGAGAGCTTTTCAGTTCAAAGGCGGCGCTGATTGACAGATAGAAAAAGGGGGATCGAAATCCAGAGGAACGGAGAAGTCTGGGATCCAGGATTATTGACAGGGAGAAAGAAACACTGGGCACTTAATGAGATGCAGGAAGGGCGGGGGATCCCTTGTGACGTGTGCATAAATAAACAGGAGGAGGGGGTAACGGAGAAACTAACAATGATCCCTTTTGGAGAGAGCAGGAAGGGGGGTTTGCGGCGAAGGCTGGCTGGCAGGCAGGCAGGCAGGCAGGGGCGACTAGGCGAAGGGAGACAGTGTAGATGGGCGAGGAGGCGAACCTGTCAGTCCTAACCCAGCGGGCCAAAGCGAACAAAAGTCGGGGTACATCAAACAAAATAGGGAAGGGGGCAAGGCAGGCGCTTCAGCCGTGGCTTTGCACAACCGTCAAGGCAATGAAAGCACCTCTCGGTGCCTTCGTGCTCGCACTTGGTTGCGCACTCAACTTTCCGGCGCGGTGTAGTGAAATTTTTTTAAGAGTTGCATCCGATGCACTTTTACCAGGAAGTGAATTCGGTCCTCTGGGACTTTCTTTCCGAATAACCATGCACGGGCTGGTGCTCCAGTCACTGAGATCGTTTCGCGTTTTTATTTTGCTGGGATAGTGAGGTGCTCTTCTTTTAACGGCGGTGCAATGGTTTCGATCTTCATCTGCGGCCAGAGGAGTGGCCAAAAAACTTTATATATGTATATGTATATATAAATATTTTCTCCCTGTTTTATGGCTGAAAGAGAAGGAGAAAGTGAAGAGAACTGAAAGAGAAGGAGAAAGTGAAGAGAACTGCGGTGGTGGCGCGGCTTCCAAATACTTTTGTATCGGATTTGAAAGGGCTGGGGGTGGCGGGAGGAGGAGGCTCCTGGCGCTTCAGTCCAGCTCCAACCTGCGTAGCGTAGCTCGAAAAGAAGCCCCGCGATTTCGCGGTGGATTTTCTCTGGAAGGTCTCTGGGGTTCGAGTCTACCGCGCGTTTCCTCGGGTGTGAGTTTCACTGGGCTTACTCCCAAGTAAGCGCCCAAGCCCGTAGCCTTAAGAGCCTGCAGGCGAAGTGCACCAAATCTGGCTTTCTAAGAGCAGGATATCAAAGCCCCAAAACAAGGAGAAAGACCTTTATGAATTTTCCTTTACTTGGGATAGTTTGGTAGAGTAGACGGTAGGAAGAGATGGATGGGACCAGTTAATCGTCCCGCGGGAGAGTCGAAAACAGTGGGACTTCTTAGAAAGAAACTTCTTGTTTTCTTTCTCTTCAGCCACTACAGTTTTCCTTTGACTTCCCGCCATCAGAAAAACTCCAAACGAAGCCAGAATGGCTCTTCAGAAGAAACACTGCTGCGTGTGTGTGTGAGAGAGAAAGAGATCCAACTGTGTGGTCCCCATAGCTGGCTAGTAAATGAATTGCCAAATATAGATTATTAGGGGAGGGGACGGAGGCTGGGTCGTGTAGCTCAGGAATGTGCAACACGACATACTCTTCTGCAGTGAGTGATCAGCTTAAACTGGGGAGAAGCAACAGAAGAGGGACGTGGCTGCTAAAAATGACATCTGGCACCCGATTCTACTCTGTTGATGAGTGGAGTAAAACAAATTGATCTTCCAGAGTGACAAATTGTAACAATGGAGGAGTCAAATGGAAACTTTAACATGACCAAGGAACAAAAGTAGCAATGGGAGAGAGGGAGGCAAGAGGAAAAGACACACACTGAGTATGTTCAAGGGGAATTAGTAAATTGCCTAATAGAAATGGTGTCAAAAAGCAAAGGAGGGGCTGTTTAAACAAACAAGCATTTCCCAAAAACCATATAGCTTGCTGCTCCCTAAGAGCCTCCTGAGCTCTCAAGATTTTCAAAACAAAGCTGATAAGGTCATGCAATATTTACAGAGTTTAGAGGGAAGACACTCAGTAAACTATCTGTTCTGGGAAAGAAAAAGAAAAAATAATGCAGAGATTGACATAGCTATGCTACCACTAAGCCACTGTAGAAAATCACATAATCAGTTCCATTTTAAAGAAAAAAAATCGGGCTATAATATTTTTTTTTTTTTAAAAAAATTGCAACTTAACGAAAACAAGAGGACGAACATAAAAAGAGGTAAAATAAATGTGTATGTTTAATCAGACTGGATTGCATAGGACACAAAGAAAGGGGCTAATTACTCTCAGCAGGTAGGAACTAACCTTCAGACTTCATAAATAAATAAATCAGTGAACAATGTCTAAGTGGGAAGGTGGAGACAGAAAAGGATTACTGAAGACACACACACACACACACACACACACACCAAAAAAGGAGGAGGAGAAAAAAAACACTTCTCTACATATGGATGTAATAATTTCTTCTGGGTTTTTTCCCTTTCAGACATTATGAAAAATAACTGATAGAGGACATCAATTTTCCCTGATCAACAATAGTGTTCCTAATAGGCTTGTTTAAAAAAAGAGAATTGTTTTATGGAATTATGAATTCTAGCCAAGAAAGTGAAATCTTATTATCTAAAATATTTGTAAGTCGATTTGTTAAAGGTTGGAGGTTTAGATCCAGCCACCAGAAAATTAAATAGCTCAAAATTCATAAGAACAGGTACTGATAATCAAATAAACACTAAAATTTAGAACAATCTCCAATCACACAAACACCCTGAAATTATCCATTATCTGATTTCAGTGACATGTCAGGATGGTTCCTGGAAAAAAGTATTTGCAAGATCTTGTATAGGATGGCCAAAAATACCATAACATTTCCATAAACCAATCTTTTAAAATTGCTTTATATTTGAGTAGCCTGTGACTGTCTTGTACTTTTCAAGTGAGACCACTTTGAATTTGATACCTACTTAAAGCATTTATTTATATTTATTGGATGTCTGGTTGATCTTTATTGGGCTAAGTCTGGAGTTATTACAGAATTATGCCATAATTTAAAAAGTTTGCTTTGTGAGTTTTAAAATATGCTGATGTCAGTGATTTCAATGTTACGATATCAAAGTTTAGCACTACTGTACAACAGATCTTATATTCCAGTATATAAAGAGCCCTATCAAAAATCTTCAGCGATCTCTCTCTTCTTTTATTAGGTACCTTCCACTCTTAGTGAACTTGTAGCAGCCATTCCTTCAGACTGCACAATTGGGAAGGAGGAAGACAAACCCACTTCACAAGTTTGTTGATATTTTTGTCACTTCCTGAACTGTTTCCATACAGGTTTTGTGTAAGAACTGGTATATATTTTGTCTTGTTCTTTCTTCCTGCACCTTTTTTTTAAAACTTCATTTTGTGTCATGCCTTTTAGACTAAAGCTACAAAAAGGAATTCTTTGATTGTTATTGATTTATAAGTCACAAAGGACTCTTCTTTCAGCAAGCTTTAAATATAAACATATTTAGATTGGATCCAAAGGAAATTCTTGAAAATTGTGAATACTGGTGTGGCTACAAATTCTTTAATGGGATCAGTTCTTAGAATTTGTTTATCAATGACTTGTGGCCAAATTCACAAATAATTTAAAATTTAAACTTACTGTTTATTATTAATCAGTTTTATTTTAAAGTATTTTAATAGGAGTAATCCAATGAAGTTGAATGTGGAAATTTCACAGTAAACAAATACACTTTTATTTATTCCATTTATGCCATTCAGGTTGTATTTGAATTTATATCTGGTTGGTTGTTTTCATGGCAGAAATGGACAAACTTATTCAGCAGGACACATTCTTAAGTTCATCAAACTTTGATCCCATTGAAATCTGATGGAGCATTTCATTATTTAAGTTGCACTGATTTCACTGAGAATACAGATAGTTAATATACGGATTGGATATCGTTCATTAAGATATCTTAAGTTGCCTATTTCTTTTATTTATGCCATTATAGATTATTAATGAATTGCATTATAACATCATTAAATAAAACATGGTTTATTTATTGATATATTTTAAAAAATCAGAATAGTCTGCAAATTTCTGTAAGTTTGTATTTACTTAGATCTATTATCCAATAATAGACTTAAGTAAATACAGTAAATAAGCAATAACTAAATTCAGATGATATGTGATAAAAGCATGCACAGTTATTTTATGATGTAAGATCTTGTGATAGAAGGAAACTATAAGAAAGGTTCATAACCAGGTTTTCATAAAATAAGCAACTCAATAAAATAGAATTTAATGTTTAAGCAGATATATATATATAGTACACATGTCCACCAATGTTGGGTGATAAATACTGTAACATTTGGAGCAATTTCTGAATAACCCTATATCATCCAAGAGCCCATGTAGGACATTACCAGCTGAACCCAAGGGACGGGTTAAATGTGTTATCAGTCATGAGTCCCTTTGTGACCACAAGAGATCTAAGTGCAGTCCACCTTGAATTCCTGTGACTCTTATCTACCAACAATTTGCTTGGGCATTAGTAGTTCAGATTCTTTTATAGAGCTTAAGCTTGCAATAAATCTTTATACCAATTTAAACTTCACAGAATTCCTGATTCCCCTGGTGCTGG